GAGGGGGAGGGGGAGGGGGGAATGATGCGATGCAAGGGAAGGGTTATGTATTTAACGGGTCGACTGTCCTCGCGGCTCCTGTGTGAATATTTGAATGCTTTAACATACTTCCGCCCTTTCCTCTCTCTCGCCCCCACACACCACCTTGAAATGCAAAAGTGAAAAGGTCTAAATAAAACTCACAATGAGCAACAAGTTTAACTCTCCAGTGCTTTATTACTATTGATTACGACACAGATATATATGTGTATAAATACACACACATACATACGCACACACATAAATACGCACTACACACCACATATAAAGAACACACGTAAGGACACACTTGAGCAAGGTCGGTTTTGACAATCCATTTTTTAAAAATATCTGATAGCTACTCTATCCATACCAGTCGTATACAATTCGTCCGCAACGAACAATTCATGACGTGCGTTTTTGGACCCACCTGCACCAAGGCGTACGTCTCGCCGTCCAGAACCTCCGCGTCACCCCCCGGCGGAGGCGCCGACACCCCGCCGCTGCGCCGCTGCGCCACCGCCGCGGTCAGCTCGTCAATCCGCCGCTTCGCGCCGTTGACCGCATCCCCCAAACTCTTAATGGACCCACGGGTCTCTCGCAACGCGGCAGACGCCGCCTTCAAAGCCGCCGTCAGCTCCCGACCCTCCGGGAAATCCGACTTGTACCGCCGGAATACGGCATTACGGTCGCCTGGTACGGTAAAAATCCCCGCCAGGCGTGTCGCAGCGGCAGCGCCGGATCCGCGCGCGATCGAAGGACTATCGAGTGTCGGCACATCGCCGTACGCGCTGGCGCCGTCCGCCGGGAAGTGGTGGCTGCTTTGGGCCTTGAGCGCGGGACCGGGGCCGGACGGGGACGGAGCGCCGGACGGGAGGGGTGCGTGGGAGTGTGCGTGGGAGTGGTCGCCGAGCTCGGAACGAGGCGGAGGGGGCCGGGAGTCCAGGGGGGCTTGACCAACGGTAAAACCGCCCGTTGTACGGAGATCTAGATCCCCCACTCCGGGTGCACTGGGTACCTGGGCAGCCATCTGGACGTACAGGGGGGTAAGGGGGGTGAGGGGGGTAAGGGGAGTAAGGGGGAGAGAAAGGAGGGGGTGGAGGGAAGGCGTCGACTTTCGCATTTATGATGATCCCCCCCCCCCACACACACACACACACACACACACACGGGGGCTCTTGACATCACACTCTTCTTACCAACGGCTACCTGATAGATTCACGCCACACAACAGTTTCATTCATTGGAAAAGTCTCAACACGACGGCGCTGGTGACTGACTGACTGTTCGGAGAGCTCGCTCCGGTGAGAAGAAGTGTCCTCCGGTGTACCTGTACCACCATCGGCAGTTCCCTCATCGCGGCTCCGAAGACCATTAGGACACATACACACATACACATGCACATAGACAGACATACACAGACAGACACACAGACAGACACACAGACAGACACACAGACAGACACACGCGAGCGCGCCGCGCCGTCTCTCACCACCGCCGCCCCATCCTCCGTGGCTCTCTGCAAGTTCGCCAGCTGCGTCGCCATCTCCGACTTCATGGCTGCATGAGCCGCCCGCAGCGCCTTGTACGCCTCCCGCACCCGCTTTATACTGTCTGCCGGCAGCTCCTCAGCATCCGCCTCACCCGCCAAGAACCGCCGCGCCGTGGCGTGGAGGTCTCGGAGCTCGTCGTCGGTTAGGTCGTCGTACGAGACGCGGGCGCGGCCGCTGTTGAGGATGTGTGTATGGGAGGGGGGAAGCGGGGGGGGGGGGGGGGGGCGTTATGAGGGGGTTGGGATGAGGCCCTGGGAAAAGCAAGGGAGGGGGGAGAGGGGCTTTTTGTTTCCCCTTCCCCCCACATTTATATAACCAACTCGTTCTCTGTTTGTAACCACCATCACCATCAGCATCAACATCAAGACCACCGTTATCAGGCCTGGTCAGATAATTATAACGTTCACCATCACCATCATCACCACCATTGCCATCAATACCACCCTTACCCCTCCGTTCTTCCCCTCCTCTTTTCGCCCCACCCCCTCTCTCCCCCCCTTTTTTCCCCCTTTTCCCCCCCCCCTTTTTCAGATGCCGTACCTGAGTGTATCCCTCATGGCCAGCTCCTGCTTCAGCTCCCGTATTTGTCGCTCGTACCGCCGCAGCAACAACCCCGGGTCGTTACTCTCGTTAACCGCCAAATCAGTTGTGAGTGTTCGTACACGAGAGGCGAAACGGAGGGTACTTAGAGTCTCCTCCGTGTGACTGGGCTCACCTACAGTCGGGAGGGAAATGTACGACAATACCAAGAAAATGGCGTGAGAGGAAGGGGGAACCGGGGGTAGCGGCCGGGGTGTGTGTGTGTGTGTGTTGGGGGGAAAGGGGGGAGGGGGGAGGGATGGAGGTAGAGGGAGGGAAAGGGGTTAAGACAGTGAGCCATTGGCGAGTGAAGGAGAGATACCAGAGATAATAAACGGATATAGTGTCCAGGAGAAGATAAATGGGAGGTTGGGGTTTAGGGAACCAAAAAAAGAAGGGAGATGACATGGATGGGGAAATGGTACGGTGTGGTGGGGGGGACGGGCGGGAGAAAGGGTACACAAAACACAGCCTCATTTCCCTTCCCATCTACCCCACTCACCCACACACTTCTAAACCCCGCTCCCCCCACCTTACCCGAGCCCGAACCCCCCCCCACCTCCTTCCTCTCCCCCCCCACACACATACATACATACGTACCCCACACATTTGCCACCATGACCGTCTTGCAGTTGCCGCCCAGTGCGTCCCTCAGTACGGCAGTTAGTTTGGTTTGGCGGAAGGGCACGTAGGTGTCTTTGCGGGAAAGGGCGTTGACGGTTTGCTCCAGGAAGGACAGCGAACGGTTGATGAACTGCGCCTCCTTCAGGGTTTGGCCTGCCGTTGCGGGGCCCGGGGGGTGGTGCCGGGGGTGAGGGGACATGGCGGGGGGAAGCAGGGGAGGGAGATATGCCTTGGGAGAAGGGAGGGGAGGTGGGGAAGGACACAAGGAAAAGGACCACCGAAGCCTGTGTGTATGTGAGTGTGTGTGTGTGCGTGCGGGGGGAGGGGGATGAGGTGACGGATGTGAAAAAAACACAAACCCGAAAGACCAAACCCAAACGCCACAGGACAGAAGTTCTTGGCACTGGAGCGCTGGGGAGGCACCCTCCCCAGTCAAACCAGAACCTTGTCCTCCATCAGCATCTCAAAACACGTAAACCTCCATGTAAACCACATGGTCTACAAAACCGTCCACGCGCCCTCACCCCAATATCTCCCCCCCCTTCTCCCATTTTCCCCCCCTCCCTCCCCCCCTTCCCCCGCCCCCTGCACCCTCGCCCATACCACCTCAACCCCTCATCTCCCCTTTCCCCCCTTCCAAACCCCCTCCTCCCTTCTGGCGCATCCGTCTTTCCTTGGCATCAGCTTCACTTGTTCGTGGTTCGTCTTCCCCCCCTCCTCCCCCCCCCTTCCCCCCCCTAAAAGACCCGTGTCCACCTGTGACTCCGGTCTTCTTGGTCCGCTCACTTCCCGCCAGATCCACCAAATTGAGCTTTGACAGAATGGCCCTTTCACTGGCCGCCTCGCTGGTGCGCATCTGCGAGGGTGCGTCCGTATGTATGTATGTATGTATATGCGTATTTGTAATTACCTAGGCCGCGGACAGGAACTGGCGAGGACGGTAAGCATGTATGAGTGTGTGTGTGTGTGTGTTTTGTGCGAGGGGAGGGGAGAATGAGGGGAAATGATGGGAGGAGGAATCACAGGATGCGAGAAAAGAAAAGATTCAGGAATGAGCTACTGCCGGACTGACTGCCGGAAGGTGTCCAAAGTCCGAAGGAACTGCCCCCCCTAGGGAGTGAGTCCGCTAAGCGATGAAGTCAGATCGACCCGGAGGGGGGTGGGAGGGAGGGGGGCCCCACCAGCCGCCCCCAATGCCACACACACAGGCAGGCTTTCCCTTTCACGCAACCCTTACCACAACTCCCTCCTCACTTCACCGACTTAGGACGGACGGGCCCCTCAAATACACACACACACACACACGTGTCTTCCGCCCCAACCCCCCATACACGAACACACGCCCTATGCCCTAACCCCTCACTTACCCCACCAAAAACAGACACGCTCTCGCCCACGCATGCACCATTATATGCGCCTCCACACGCAAACCCCCCCAACAGGTACAAAACCCCTGCCCCCCCCCAACACACACGGCCCCCCCCCACACACTCCGCACACATAGGTACACACGTACACACCTCACCTCCACGTGCACCGTGAATACGGTGTGAGACCGGCTGCTTTCCGAGTTGAGTACGTGCCCCGCAGTC